GAGCTTATGAAGATGTAATCCAGTTGGGACTTTAGACTTCTGAAAGGAGACGTCTATGAAGTTTGGAGGATTCACCTATGATGGAATGGATTATTGAATAGTTTGTAGCGCAAAAGCATAGCAAGCTCGAGTCACTGTCATTCAAAGAATCAATGAAACAGCCCAACCTGCCTGGATAGGTGCCATAGTTAGCGTAAACCTTTGCGTTAAGGTCGCTTGGGAAATCTGTGACGTCATGGGGCAAAACCATTTGACAAGTGACTGTAAGAAGTCATGAAAAGTGGTGTCCTTGTCTCACTGACATTCAGTCTTGCACAAATATGCCATGCCAGTATCCTATTCGACACCTGTTCCACAGAAAGGTCTGTCGGTTTATCCTCAGGGACAACGGGATACCAATAAAGGCACAACAGAATCTACTATGACATGAGCACCAAAATAACTACCCATCCTGCAACCCAATTTCCTCTACCCATGAAGGCACTTTTCCGTGACCTCCAGTGGTTCAGTTTATACGAACGGACCGTACCTCAGATATCGCCAAACCTACCTTCGAAATTTAAAGAATAGACCATGCAGCATTCAGCACGAAGCTGTTATGTTTCACATTGATGACAGGTGGCATGTTAAACCTTTTGCTTCTAAGGCATCAGGCCAGTTGGAAGCATGAACCTCTCACTGCATCCCTTGTCATTTCATTTCTGCGGGAGCAAGAAGTTTCACAACCGCCCTATGCGAAATCAATACGACAACGGTACATAGGCATACAACCATTTTTCATGAAGTAATAAATAGATGAGATAAATAACTTGTGAAGGGGGCATGTTGTTGCATGGTAAAGAGGTCGGCTTTGAACTCAAGGTACCGGAATTGTACCCCCTTTGTCTTAACTGAGAATTCCCTTGTGGAAAGATGTATGAGCATTTAATTTCAACCAACCAGTCAAGGAACAAGTAGTTAGCCACTGACTTGCGAAAAATACGGACAGTTATGGTATTCTGGTCTGGTCATTTCGGAAAGCATGAGGCGAACGGCTATTGTGTACGATGCAAGCGCCTTGTGACTGCACATCGACTTGATTTACCTGAAATGTGGCTATATAGTGAAATACTCAGCACAAGGTATAACCCTGTGATTTCTGTTTAAAATCCGTCAAAAGCTGAAAATTGCAAAACATTTTAAGGTATGCACCATGATCAGTGCATTTCAAATTCTAATAAGCCTCATTTCATCTGTTTTTTTGGCAGCTTAGATTAAGCAAATTAGGAAACATTCGAGGCGCACGTGATCCAAAAGAACATAATGAAAATTAGACTGATCTGGTCATCAAATTAGTTTGAGAGACAATGATTTCATTGTGTAAAATAACTGTGAAGATGACACTTGTGTGCAGCGTTGAAACGCATCGGTGAGTAAAGGAGATTCAATCTTCCTTTTAAATTGTTGCCTTGAACCATGGATCGAAATCGGATGGACATTAACTGCTATCAAAGCAGCCAACGAATCGATATATCATTCAACATTTATTTAAATATTAGTCTTGAATTTATGTTAATTTGTAATCTATCGACAAGTTTCATACCTATGGGTCAAAACACAGTTTAGTTTTAATTAATAAATATTATAGCCTGCACCTCCACTTAGTTTTACGTTAGAGCGTTGAAAATACGAGCTAAGCATGGCTCTGAACCAGGTAATAACGAAGGAACGAACCTCCAGATGACATACGTTATGACATGACAGAAATTGAAGTTATTAAAATTGACTGCGTTGTTCTAAGTCCCGTTGACATGCAATGTCACACATGCATCATCTGATTTGTTTCCATTATGTGAGCGCCATGAACACCACTCGAAGATCTTTCAGAATCCCGGTTCTCCACTTTCTGTCTCCACCGCTGGTCAAGAAATTTGAACATAAAATCATGTCAGTGTTTTGCTGGACCATCGACTCAACGTCGGTGATCCAGCCGAATCCAGTTTGTAATTCTTGATGCTTACTGGTTGTCGGGTTCGGCCAACTACGTGACTAGACCATCGTATATTGGCGCGGTAAAATGCAGAAATCAAGTCCCTGAATCTTGCATGTTATCAGTTTGTGCGTTCAGAGAGTGATCTTGGACGGTCATCTTCCGCATTTTTCATCCCATGGCGCTCTGCCTGAGCATCAGTTTGCTCGACCAGCTTTAGTAGCAAATCAACAGTCAGTACCAGAGGTCACAGCGGACAGGACGGTGGAATCCAACAGTTATGTCTTCCGCTCACATGGGCGAGTAATGATGTTATCGTACGGTTCGAACTTGCCCACACCACCTCTCTAGTAAAACACTGTTCGAAACTTTCAGGTTAAAGTTCGGTCTGTCCTTGAAAAACTTCAGTATTGCGCGATGTTGCAAACGGTTACAAGGATATAGAAGTTTTATAAACATTTCCGACAGTAAGAACGATATTTCATTATTTATGTTTAAATCGTTTAGCTCGAAATCTGAAGGTGCTGGACCAGTGACCTGATCAAGACCTTCAGCGACCTAATGGTAAGTGGGGAGCCATCGATTGGGTAGATAAGTTCATGTA